GTGAGGGTCAGATGTTCGAGTCTCAATATCTCAAGGCAGGAAAATTCATTAGGATCGAATTTTTTCCCATCGTACTACTATGACCATGGGCTACCAGTGTGGCAAGTTTCAAGTCAAAATTCGAAAGCCGGATTTTGCGCGAAATCCAAGCTCTATAGACAAAAACTGACTAAAAATTCAATATCTCAGCAACAAAGCACCATGGGAATGAACCAACTTAGGGTATTGCACTACTCACTGAGGTCTACAAGATACAAGTAGTCCGAGTTCAAAAGCGATTTATAACCTCAAGAGGTTCCATCGTCAGCTATAGGGCTAGTTGTCTTCTGATTAAAAATCTCACTTTTTTTCTTAAAAAAGGGTATTAAAATTAGAAAGGGAGCTTCAAGACGTCTCTTTTCGTAGTCTCTAATTCCAAAGATAGATATAAACGTTCTAAGTGCGGCAGTATATTCCGATCATTTCTACAAGCCTTTTGAGATAAATTTATTTCTCTAACTCTCATCTGTCATGTATGAAAATTTAAATTTAATGCATAATAACATTCTAGTATAAATATTTGGCATAAACAGAAATTAACGAATATAAATCAAGTTTATTATGTACCTCTTTTTAGGGTTTTGTAATTTCAATTATGTTTACACGAAACCTTATTTAGAAAGACAGTATTGATATGATTAATGAATTTTATGGATACTTTTTAAGAAAAAAAATTGATAAATAAACTCAAAAAGTTTTGTATTTATTAAAAAAACAATTCGAGTAAGAGATGTGGAATCGATTTAGTAAAACAAGCTGCATTTGACAATTTAAAGATATAACAAAAGTAAGTTCAACTACGAATAAACTGAGATGATAATCGCCCTATGGGTTTGTTCCATAACTTTCGAAATCCTTCCAGCTTTCTTAATGTTAAAACTAAATTCTGTGTAAATATTCTCAAAAATATACTTTAGGCATCTTCACTAAATATGATACAAAATAGCAATTTCGTCATTAAAAAGTGATCGTAATAGTAGTAATTAGTTTTCTTGTTCGAAACAAACAGCAAAGAGCAGAGACTGAAACGGATCTTATTAACCTACGAATTGAATCGAGTTCGGGTCAAATCAACCATTATAAGTTGGAATAGGTCAAGTGGAGTCAAAAAAATTATTTTTCGTATTAAAATCGAGTTCCAGAAGTTAGAATAGATATTGCACTTCACGGAGAAAAGCTATATGATGGTTTTTTTGCTGATATTTTTTCATGGTAGAAATTGGGTTTACTTTGAAATGTTTTTCTTGTTGAGTTTTCGAAAGAATGTGACTTACTTTACGATTTTAATGCATAATGTGGATTTCAATAACTATATTAAAGAGGCACAATACTATTAGGGTGAGTCATCTTGATTCAATAAAACGGTTTTCTTATTTGAGATGTTCGCAATAATATGGATCAGTCAGTTGTTTTACATTAGCCGTTTATTGTCGATTGTTGAATTTTAAGCGTTCGCCTATTATGCGTCCTTTTTTGGAGGAAAAATTGGTGATTTATTTATGATAGTATCAACACTTCTTGACTAGCTTTCGTGTTCGTCACTGCTTTTAATAATGCGTGCAATTTTTGAATCTTCTATTCATCTCATTTTAATGGCGGATCGGTGACTTATCGACCGCTAAACACGTCAGCAACCGGAAGTACAGTGTCAATCTTAATTAAGCAAACGTATATATGGACTTATCCAACTATACTTTGCGATAATTCTATAATAGCAGCTCAAACAATGATGAATTTTGCTTCGTTTGCCAGTGCTGGCTATGTATTAAGTTGTTTAACAAATTGTGGTGCAACATCCTCTGGTTATACATCCATATCGGTCTACTCTTCCTGTACAGATTTTAGTATACCACTACAATTTACAATTGGACAGCGTTCGGACATTGTTAAACTCAAATCGACTGATCAATTTACTATCGCATTTCAAGGTAGTGCCTGGTATACGTTAGCTTTATCAAGTAGTTCGCCATTCGACTGGAGCATAGCTTGTACAATTAATATGCTTGTACGTCCAGATGGAACGTTAAATACATCACCAGAGGTTGTAATGGTATCTCCAATCAATATTGCACTGGGAGTTTTTTATTATCTAACGATACCAGTATATGATAGTGATGGTGATGATGTACGATGTCGTTTTGCTACCCACAATGGCACACTTAATGAATGCGCTAGCATTTGTGCTCCAGCTTCTGTACCTAGCGGAACAATATTATACCCAAACTGCACATTGAAGATTAAAGGAACCTCTCTCTATGATTATTACGCAATTGCAATACAGGTATGCGAGAGCTTGCGTTATTTCTTCATAGCATCTTTCTTTCCAGCATACGTTAAATCAGTACTTCCGAATCGTACCTAAGTTTTGCCATTCACTGCTGTTTTAGCGATGAATACTCCAGTAATAAAAATAAAAACATATCTTGAGACTTCCGGAAACAATTCTTTGAAACGAACATTTGTCGCCAATCATATTCATAAGAGGACATCCTCAAGTGTTCCCCATTTTTCTTTGAAACACAGGTAATTATGAGTAATATTTTTATGCGGATAATGAATCTGATATTCGTTTCTGCCACCCTTACTTTCTTGGACGAGCCTCCATAGATCCAACATCAACTTTAAAATCAAACAGTTCTGATACTGCCGGATTCTAAAGCATGTCGAGTTACCGGTGTCTGCAAGTTCGTATATCTAAAGAGTGACTTTTCACTGAGATATGAAAATAATAATCTTTATTTACTTAAAAATTCTCAAATTTTCACCATTTCTTGCAGTAATACTTTTATATCTACGGTCTCTGGAGGCCGGGATTTCAGAGATCCATTCAATGAAACTACTGATGGCAGAAAGTGATAACAGATTTATAATCAGCATAAAAAAGGAAAAATTGACGATACTTGGGGATGTTTCTTTGTCAGCTGATCAGTATATTTTATTTTACCCTTACCGACTTATTTTACTAACATTTCGACACTACTGAGTTATTTGATAAGTAGATGTAATGCTCTTTAGGTTGAAGATTTTTGGAATACTACCACAACAATCCCATTTAGTTCTGTACCAGTACAATTTTTAGTCTATGTTCTCACACAACCATCATGTCCGCTGCCAATAGTGTATAGTACAAACAACACTGATTCATGCACAGCTGTTCAAGCTGGTACGCCACTTAGTATTCAATTATTTGCTCAAAGTTATTGTGGCACAAATATTACTGATATTGGTACGGTATCATTTCCAATTGTATTAAAAAGTTCTTTGACCCAATATAATTCAACTGTATGGACTGTAACAATAACATACACACCAACGACTTCTCAAATTGGAATACAAAGACTTTGTGCAATAACTGCAGATACGTACGTAGACAAACTTTATACCATAATCCCATACAAAAGAAGCTTATTTCCTTGTCTGACTTTTAAGTTGTGATGAATACAGCAAATAGTCCTACTCCCTTTCAAACTTGTGTATAATAATAAACTATCATGACAATAAAAATGCATTAAAGCTTGACATTTCTTTTTCTTAGGAATGGTCTGCAATCAAATCAGTATTGTCTCACGTTTCTTGTTGGAGATCAACTACCTGAGTTCTGTATTGGAACAGATACAACTACCGCAACATCTACCACATCGACAACTGAAACAACAAGCACGACTTCAACGTTAGTTTCATTTACATAGATCAACCTAAGATGTTAATTGCACCAAAGGACAGGAAACGGTTTCTGCTCAAATGACCCAATATGATTTTGAGTGAAAATGACCAGAAATGCTTCTCTTTTCACTTCCCAACATTTCTGACTTTCAAAAATTGCTCCTGATCTCTTTGAAAAAATTATTTTTGACGAAGGCCATTTACTTTGTTCCTCAAGCTTTTTAGTACGATTTCAAAGACCTTGACCTAAATCCATACACAGAAAGATAGAGAATTTTTCACGCTTCAAAATGGGCCACAATATTTTATTTTAAAACTTTGCCTTCATAGATTTATTCGCTAAATACTGAATAGAAATCTCGATTTTTATCCATAGTGATATATAAAAATAATCATAGTTTCTTTCACAATTAGAAATTGAGAATTATTTGTAGTTAGAAAAATGCTATTAAACTTAAAGTTTAAAACAACGTACTATAGTTTATTTTGTAGCCCTTTCAATCCTGCATTTTTCTAAATACAAACTACTCCTAATTTCTATTTCTGGAAAAAAAGAAATAGAAATCTCTTGAAGGGATGTATAGCTCGCGCAGACACTGTCGCACTGCTGAAGAACCATAACAAACGGGGGACGCTCTAAAATGAGAGTTTAGTAGACATGTTCAACATAAACGATTTGTTTAAACTGATATATTTTAGCACAACTACTGCAACTACAACATCAACTACAAGTACCACATCGGCAACTACAACGTCAACTACAAGTACCACATCGACAACTAAAACAACAAGCACAACTTCGACGTTAGTTTCATTTACACAGATCAACCTAATATGTTACTTGTAGCAAATTTCTGGCACGAAAATTGGCTGGTAAAGCCAAGAGAGATTGCAAAGTGCCCAACAGAAATCTCTTGAAAAGATGTATAGCTCATGCGGACACTGTCTCTCTGAAGGAGAACCGTAACAAACGGAGGACCCTCTAAAGTGATAGTTTAGTAGACATGTTCAACATAAACGATTTGTTTAAACTGATATATTTTAGCACAACTACTGCAACTACAACATCAACTACAAGTACCACATCGGCAACTACAACGTCAACTACAAGTACCACATCGACAACTAAAACAACAAGCACAACTTCGACGTTAGTTTTATTTACATAGTTGAACTTAAAAGTGTTAACTGTAGGAAATCTGCCTTCTTTATACTTCAGATCTGCAACGTCAACAAGTACGACTAGTGTGTAAGTGTGGAAAGCAGTTGGTTTAAGCTTTATTTGTAAAAAGAAGAAAAAGAAAAGAATTTCCATCGAATAAATATGGAACAGCAAAAGAACGAGGAAAGCAGTTGAAAAGGAAAATCTTCTAATTCATCTATACCGTATTTAGAACATCAACAACAACGTCATTAACAAATATGTTGATAGGTAAGCTGTTCATACTTTTCTTTCATAATAAAAAATTATCAACCGACAAACTATTTCTTTTTAGCCCAATCGAATGGGAATGGTATTAATTTGGCACTGCTACTTGGATTACTATTACCATTACTTGCTTTGTTAGCATTATGCTGCACTTGCTGTTATTGTTGTTATAAGTTATATTGGTACGATCCTATTACAATTCTAAAAGAAGTTCTGGAATAGTGATACCCTATGTCTGCTAAATGGAAATGATAAAAGGCCCTCTTTCGCTTCTAGTCTTTACGAACATTTATCTGTATCGTTTTAGGCGTCCAAAGAAATTACGTCGAAAACAACGAGAAAATGAAGAAAAGAGCGCATACTATAGAAAACAATATATTAACGATGGTTCAGATGTTAATAGTGAAGTACCAATAGCAAAATTACTAAATGATTCATCAGCGTCGGGTTTATCTTCATCTGAATTTAATAATTCTCAGACAACATCATCATCTTTTTTGTGGCCTTCAACACTTCAGATGCATTATAATAATCAAATCAATAATAGTTCTAAAACACTATCAAATAGAAGTCTTTTATCACCGTCAACATTGAGTTGGAATTATCCTGGAGATCAAAATTTAGAAAATCCATCACCTATCAGTTTCATATCTTCGACATCAGTACTCTACAACAGTTCTTCTCGTCAAAGTTCACAATTACCACGTGAACAATTCGGTAGTTCTGTACTAGGTCAAGCATATTCTGAACAAGAATTGAGAAGCAATATGCATACAGCTACAAAAATGGCATGGTAAAAATCGTTATTTTCACTATTATAATAAGTTATCTTTGGTCGAAATCCAAAAGTAGTCAATTGTCGGATAAACTCTTTGAATAAGAAACGATTTTTAAGGACTGAACTAGCATCTTTCTGCCAACCGACGAATTACTACATACTGACTGAATATTTTAATTTTGTGATAAACATATCAAAATTTGATGTTTTTTTTCTAGAGCAACGGAATTTTTAAAACTTAGATATTCGGAATCAGCGCAAGGAGTTACGTTGTACGGCGCCAAGATCTCGTCGGGGTACCCGCGTGTTTTGGACCCGAATTCTCCACTGTGGGTTTTTACGGTATATTACACTATCTTCAACAGTAGACATGAGAGATACCGCTTTTTTCACGTTCCCTTATATGTTTCATTTTTAGTTGCTTTGATGCTTTTTTCTTTCTATGCACACTATAGAAAGATATAAAGCGAAATATAAAGCAAGAAATGGAGAAAAGAAAGATTGCACTCACTATGAAATTCATGCATATTCTGGCAACATTCCAGATTAAAAAGTTAACAAATTTGAAGATACTCCTCTCCATTTTTTCGGGCAGTTTGTAGTATACAACTTGTACTCTATACTATGTTTTTTTAGAAAAAGGCACTGTTTAGTTTTTGAGTTATAAGGCTGCCAATATTACAGTTGAACGTATGAAAAAGTAAGTATCTACGTCAATATAAAAGCCAAATGAGTTTCGAGAACTTTCTGAACTACCATGGCTTTCCGGTTTTCTCTTCGGATCATGATAGTGACAGATAACTTGTGTAAAACAGAAATGAAAATAGTTAAAAGGCTGCTCCCTAGAGAACGTACTGGGTGCAAGTGCAAGTACTTGATTACCTACTAAGTACTTGTCAATGATCGAAATACTTGCCTTATTGCTAAGAAGTACTTTCTAAAAGTACCTGGCAAGTAACGACAAATACTTACAAATAAATTTACTTCTTGAGAAAAGGCAAGTACCGGCTTCATTACGCAGACGAAGTACTAGGTCCCAAGTACGTTCTGTACGGTTATATTCGTGAATATCTTTAAACACAATATCTTTAATATCAATAAATAAGAGTGTTAAATGATGAATAATATTCAAAAAAATAATAAACCGCCTGGATGCCTACTGTGCTCGACAGTCTGGTCCATCAGTCAATAGTCAAAAATTTTGTTCATGTCCATTTTCTGTCCGTAAACCGCGCATTTTTTCGAAATTATTTTAGACCAATGTTACACAGTTTGCTTCCAATAAGTAGAAAAACAGAAGGAGAGAAACGATAATATGATATACGTAGACGATGCTACTTTTCGGTTCGATTTTTCGCTTCCATTTTACTTCATATCTAAGATAAACTTTCCTATACTTCAAATCTGCAACAACTGATATTGCGACCGCAAGATATTCAGAAAAAAGTTTTAAATTTTTACATGCCTATCAATATCCATGGATAACGCACTAGTTTGTCTACGCATCCACCAATACCAATCATTATTGAAGATATTGTACAATATTATTGGCTCTCCAGTAATATTGGGTCCCAATATTATTGTATACCCAATATATTGGAACCAATATTATTGATCACTCAATAACATTGGATAATATTGGGTTCCACAATGCCTTGGATTCCAACTTTTTAACCTTAATATCATTTACCGTCATAAAAACGAGAGGAAGCATATCCTGATCGGGATTAGGCATACACCGATTAATAATCGATGTTAGGACATTCAGCAAAGTCGTTGCGAATCAGTTGTAAAAAAGCACTTAGAGCTGTCGCATGTCTCATTTTGTAGGAAGATGTTTGCTCTATCAAACTGAAGTGCAAAAGGACATTTAGTATTATCTGCGCCAGAAATATAAGCATCCAAAACTGAGAAAAATTGCGAAAGCATAAGCGACTATTGATTATTTTTCTACGATTTTAGTGCGCTTTTGATTTATTATATTTTGACTAAAATTTAAATGAGCAATAAAATAATACGAATGAGCAATAAAATGGTATAGATGAGCAATAGTCAAGTTTAGCAGTAAAGAAATTCAATGAGCAATAATTATACTGACTGAGCAGTAATTATACTGATTGAGCAATAATTATACTAAACGGGCAATAATAATACTGAATGAGCAATAAAATAAAATAAGTGGCCAATAATTAAACTAACTAAACAATAATTTGTTCTGCTTTTATCTGGGATTTTTCCAATCGTTCTATTTAACAGAAGATAAAAATTTGCACAATGAAATTATGGATGATATTGATACCGTACAACTCTCAAACAGTCAAAAAACATTTGAAGTTGCTACAAAACTATTCCTGAAAAAATGGAAGAGTAAAGAAAAATTTCTTCAATATTTTTCAAGTGAATGGCTCGAATCAAAAAATGGTTGGTATGAAGGTCTACAGATGTTTGTGCCAAGTACCAATAACGCTCTAGAAGCCACCAATCGTGTTATAAAAGATGAAGATACAATAAGAGAACGATTAGTTTTATCAAGATTCACAGTTGTTGTATTTTCAATCGTCATGAAGTGGTCAAAAAAACGTAATCCTACTCGTGTCAATTCAAAAAAATTCGAACATCAACCTTCAATTACATTATCACACTGGACTGATGGATATAATTGGGTCAAGCTAAATAAAGAAGTTATATCTATTTCAAATCGTGATAAAACAATATATTATCTGCCTGCTGATCAAGAAACTACAATAACAGATAAAGAAGTAAAACGCTACGAGAATTGCAGGTTTAATTCATTTGACACATACAAGTCTGTTTACTTTAAAATATGGCGTGTGTGTTTGTCGAACGATGTCGAAGAGTGGAGAAAAGGAACTTGTAATTGCCCATCATTCCTCAAAAACTATATTTGCAAGCACATCATAGGTTTGTCTATCAGACTAAAATTTTGTAAACCGCCACCAGAGGCAGAAAACGTGGATATTGGATCAAAAAGAAAAAGAGGCAGACCATGTAAAGCAAAGCAAACATTACTGGTACAATGATGTAATTAACTGTTCATATTTCTTCTTTTTATTTCCAATTGTGAATATAAATGTTGTACTTTTTCTTTTTTCTACTGCTCACATCGGAAATTATTATTGACAATTACTCAATAAATTATTGTCCATTTGATAATATAAAACTGCTCGAATCAAATTTTTTTATTGCTCAAGAATTACTGCTAAATAGTACTATAATTATTGCTCGAATAAATACTAGCCTTATATTTTCTCTATGTATAACATTAAAACACTTCAGTTTGATATAGCAAACATCTTCTTACAAAATGAGGCATTCGACAGCTCTAAGGTGCTGATTCGCAACGATTTTGCTGAATGCTCCAATATCGATTATTAATCGGTGTATGCCTAATTGAGTTATACTTTGATTCAAAACAGGATATAAAGCATGCGTCGGTACTGTAAAAGTGGGCCGAACTCAAGTGACCCAATAATATTGTGAAAATCCAATACATTGGGGTGACCAGCATTATTGGTTCCAGTATATTGGGTGACCCATATTATTGGTGCATGCCTAAGTTTGTCCATAGAGCGTCGATGGACAAGTCCATCTGATGCAGATCTTTAGCAAATGTTCGTTTTACTATTCTATGCGAAACCCATGATGTATAGATGATCTCCGTTCGAAACTAGCAACCTTATTTAAAAACCACATTATTTTAAAAAAATTGCCGTCTAAGGGATAAGAACGTTTCAACTTTAGAAAATAATTTTTAGTCAGGTGCCAATAATGCAAACTTCGAGTAAAATGTTTTTTTGAACTTATTATACACTCTTCGATAGAGCGTTTCAAACTGATCCCGAATATATACTTCTAAATTTTTCGAAATACTATTTTCATGTTGAAAAATCAAAAGAACTCGAAGCATTTTGAAAATATAAAAAATCCTTCGTGTTTGAAAAAATTTGAATTTTCATCTTATTTGACAATGCGGACTTTCAAACTATTTTTTTCTGATTCAGCATTGAAAACTGAGTAGAAAAGTGGTCTTTCATGAATTTTGCAGTTACTTTCCAGTTTTTACATTATACTTTCGTCAAAAACTCATTCTATAAACATTATCAATTTTTTGTTCATATAATTATTGTATGGATTATGATCTTTTAAATTTTGTTGTTGATAATGTGTACATATATCATCGATAGCACGTTTTAATTCTTCATGCTAAATTTAGTTGGTTTTTGTTTCAATTTCAATCTGATGACGTTGTTGTTGATGCTGCAAAGTGAAATAAAATTTTGAATCTTCGTTCAATGTTTCATTTTCAATACTATTTTATTACTTTTATTATGCATATAAGTGGCTTTGTTTTCAGTTTGAAGTGTTCCAGGAGGACAGTCAACCAAATAGTGTTTGGAGTTTCTATTGTTACAGAAGCGGAAATATGTAACTCGCGCGTCATCATAAAACGAAAGTTCAGAGTTTGTTTTTGACATTTTTGGATTTCAGAGAAGTTTGCTTTATGAAATAAAACTAGCTTTTCATAACTCTTCCAAATAGTAGAACTTGATACGGGACTCAGGTATAATGCTATAAACAGAATTTCGGCTGTTATTCTTTAAAAAAATCACATTACAGACTTTTTACCACCAGTGTAAGAGAGCAGAGCTTGTATCGTTAAAGTTAGCAATTGGGCAGTAAACTACACTACTGCTATATAGCTTACTCTGGCTGTCTATGACAATTTAATTTGAAAACAAATTTTCAATCATTTCTAAACAAACGGCAAAAATAGAGATACTAAAAGCTTTAAACACGTTCTACTACAAAATAATCAGAAAACAAGAGCTTATTTTTACAGCAGTCGATATTTCTCCGAAGAAATCAGTGAGCCTACTAAAAACCATACTGCTGAACTTTAAACGGTGTTGCGATAGTGGCATTTCTTAATATTTAAAATAAAGTTAGGCGTAACTTCAGCTAATTAAGTAATAATAGGTGTAATAAATAAATAATAAGTAAAGAATGTAGGTCCAGTAAATCTACATAGACACCTGATAAAAAACGTATATTTACCTGAAACGAGCATGTTTATCTATACAAACCAAAAGGTAAATACAAATATCTGAATTCTTATGGACTAATTGATAGTATTAGCTAAGCGATATGTCATACTGCTATACTGCACTTTTCCCACACTTTTCCCATTATGGATTTTATATCCATACTCCTACTTGTGATTGTGCATGTTTTTCGTAAACTCTTTTATCCCATCACATGCATTTTTTGAAATTACGTGATGTTATCAGTGTTCTTTTCTTCTTTCTTCTTCATGTGCGACTGCATAATGTTGAATGGTTATATATTCAGTATTTTCTTCCCCCATAAGTATGAGCAAAACAGAATGGTATCTGACTCAAAGGTTTTAACAATGAATATCACGAGCTTACCACTCAAGATCGATGCTGTTCGTGCTTGTGCTTCACTAAGTCAACCGGGAAACAGGAATTTCGCAGTAGTGACTTTCGAAGTGGACTTTCGGCAATTGCCAAAAGTTGTGTTTTGTTGGATTTTCGCAAAATACCAGACTGGAAGTTTGACAATAGTCAATAGTCCAGTTTTGTAAATATCGGAAATACACTAAAAGCACAGCTTTAATTAGTAGTAATTAATTAATTCGCTAGTTACTGAACTTTCGGCAATATATAATTAAACATTGCCGAAGGTCCCAGCACCATATTTATCGATTGTCAATACACATATTATTCAAGAATTCGTACTATTTGTGGGTTTGTTCAGGTATTATGAAATCATAAGCACTGTTACTAAGAGTGGTTATCATATGGCGGTTGCAATGCAGGTGGCTTGCAGTGCAAGTGGCTTTAAGGCATGCAGAAAAAAAAGAGTAATAGATATAGAAATTTAATGATAATTGCATTGGCTAGTTTAAGATTTCAGATTGAAACAGTATTTATGAGAGTATTTTGAGAATATTCACATTAACCTACGAATAAAGATGTAAGTGTCATTTATTATGCGAGCAACATTTATTTAAATAGTTTCGTTCATGTTTTATTACAAGTTCAACAAAAATAGCAACGTTATAACTTAAAAACAGTTATGAAAAAACATGTATTACATGTACAAAATAAACGAAAATCGTTTGTAGGATCAGTTTGAGAAACAAAGGAACAAGTCGTGTATTTTTATTTCAAGACTTGATTTGATTTAAGCTTTATTTAAATAAGAAACAGTAAAAAGTAAAAAAAAATCGTTATCATTCTAACGCAGTACATTCCAAAATTGCAAGGGCACCGTGCGTATGCTAAATATAGTGTAAGGTTTTTTGTGAAAATCACTTTTCTTTATCCGTGCTCGATTTAAACAATACACATCCTTCAAAATTTTTGGCAGAATATTCAGCTTTGCCATTTACTCTTAATATTGCTCTCGATAAAATTTCACTTGACGATGTCATTAAACAATGGAAAAAATTTAAACCTAAAAATAGCCTGGATCCTTCAGCTTTCCTCTTGAAGAACCTTCCGCTTGAATACTTTAATATTGCCACAGTTTTCTTTAACTAATAATATTAGAAAGCAGACTATTTAACCATTGTTTAATATTTTAGTCCTTACAGTCGAATTCGTTCGATTTGAAAAGCGGAGCGTGAACAAAAAATGGTTTTACCTTCATTTATTAATTTTCGTGCGTTTTGTTCTTTTATTTGCACAAACTTTGTTTAAAGCAAACAATATCCACCATACTGATACAAACAACTATAGAAGCGAACTCGGAATAAAAAGAAACTAGTGTACAGTACCTGTAATATTTACTTAGTGTAAAATGGTGGAGAGGACATTATTTAACGTAATTTCTGTTAAGAGAAACTATGAATAGATGTACTTTCACGTTTGTTAGTATTCGAACATTATTACCAATTCGTGTGACAGGTGTTCAACGTACTTGGGAGTATTTAAAAGAAGAATTTAATCGTAAAAGCGACGGTGTTGGTGATAATGCAAGATATTATGAAACCTTTGGACCTGGTCCGAAATTATTTGCTGTTATAGGGGATAAAGTGTACTATCACGACGCAGAAGAATGGGTAACGTACAACAGTGCAACAGATATCTCCTATGCATACGACGTCGATCTATTAGCAGCAGAATAGCTGTAAATAATGCACCTCCATAACTTAATTAATTATCTATTTTCTTAATTACTGCTATATTGCTAAGATTTTAGAGACCATTGTCTTTTAGTTACGAATTTTTATATATGGATGTTTGAAAAGCACGACTCAATAATACTGTTCACTCAGTACTTGTATTAGTTTATGTAGAACACTAAACTAACAGATATATATATAGGATGAAGGCGATTCTGCATTAGAAAAAAGGAATGAATACACTATTAATGCAGTTAGCACATAATAATTGGTTGGCAATACACTTAATTCATACTGTACAAGTATGCTACATGTTTAGTTATTGCAGTACAGTAACTAAACGAAAAAAGAAAAGACGATATTAAACAGTGTAATTCTTATGCATCAATAAAGCGCCTTAAGATTCAAACGCTGTATAATAGAAAAAGTATGCTTTTCCATTAGCGCGACAAAGGACTACATTGAAGGTATGACCATTTTCAGCCAAAATTCCCACGATATATTTTTCTACGTTTTGAAACACAAAAAGGTCTGTCTAAAGAAGATCATCAAGGGTGAAAGTTTGATACATTGCTTTTAAAAGTAAGCTTTTATACCAGAAAAAATCATTATATTAACTCTTTTATCGAAATTAACCGCAGCAATCGCGTCTCCATATTGACGCAGCTCCGCAGCTCACAAACGATACACTAAATATTACAGCGACATTGTATACCTAAAGAACATTCTCCCCAAAGTATAACTAACTACAGTTGTAGATAAATAATGTGTTTTTGATTTTGATCAATCTCAGTTTTGATGGTTTTAAATG